TTTTTTTGTTTTTTTAATATTTTTTTTTTTTTTTTTTTTTTTTTTTTTTTTTTTTTTTTTGAGATCCTTGCATTATGTAACCAATTTAAAAACAATTTTCTTGTGCACAAATAATGGAAAAAACGTTCCTATATAGATTAGGACTACACGCTTTTTTTTTCATAGACCTTTAACCAACAAAAAAATTTGTTCTGGAAGAATAAGAGAGGAAGCATGAAGGCAGAAAAAAATTTCTTGGAAAAGTCTTGAAAAAATCAAAACACTTTGCGAATAGAATTCATTGACAGTCACATCCTTGAGTGAAAACTTGTGGATCTTGAGTTCAACCGAGAGTAGATCTTGGCGCGGTTTGGTTTGGGTCGGTTTCGGAAGAAAATCATTAATTTTTTGATTTTGACTTTCCTTTTTTTTAAAAAAATAAAAATAAAAAAATAAAAATGGAAACACGTGTAAGTGGGTTGGGTCGGTTAACCATCAGCTTGAGTTTGAGGTTTTAAACCATGACCGAACCAATCCATAGTGGTTTTGTTTAAAATAAAACCAATTAACTATGTCAAATTGACCCAAATCAATCCGAGTCGGTTTGGTTCGATCTATTTTTCGAATTTTTTGCCATGTCTGATTGAGAGAGTGGTGTAAAATGAAGTGGAATACTTAATTCCACTCATTGATAAATCAAAAGGGCTAATAAGCGAAAAGTATTAGTTGCTTTTGATTTATGTTTAATTTTTAGTTTTGCTTTCTTAGTTGTGTTGAGAAAAATTGTAATACCTAAACTTTAGACGATGGTATCATTATTCTATAGTGAATCATTTTTGCCCGTGGCATGAGATTCCCAAGGAATAAATTAGTCAAACTTTATTGTTATTCACACATTCTACAAGATCTACAATATTTACTCATTAATATTCACTTATTATCCATAAAATTTGTAAAACTCAATCCTATAATCTAATAATCTTTTTGTCAAATATTTAAATTGAGAAAATACTAAATAGTGATTTTTGTATAAAAAAATATATAAGGACCTAGAAATACTAAAATTCATAGA